TAATCTGGTTATGGCAGTCAGGTTAATTGTGTTGCATTACTCTTACGTAATCAGAACATGAGCGTTTTGTGTGCATGTAAACGCAGTCAGTGGGCTTTTGAGATGTTGGCCTGTCTAATATGTGTCAGTGAGACTATGAAGTGTAGAGCGCCTAGTGCAAAACCAGTCCCCCTTTCCACAAACAAAGAGCTTCAAACAGTGTTTTAAAGGCTGCTTTGTTTCTTTCTAATGCCCTGATGTACTCAGTGGCGTCAATAAATCACAGTTTGTTGCGTAATAGAATCCCCAGAGGATAAAATGGTATGGTTGCGACAAAACAAAGTCTTCTGCATAAACACATGTGTGTCTAATTAATTGGATTAAACTGCATGTCGTGTGACCACATCAAAAACAGTGACCTTGTTGCTGTTTTATTGAACTTGACATGATCAGATGTTCATATGTTTTGCTCAGTCAGCATGTTATGATTGTACTATCAGTAATGGATGATCAGCTGTAAAGATGCATTATGCAACTTTGGCTTCTCTGTCACCATGGTTGAAAGATAAAGGCTTTTTGTGTAATTTTTCTGATGCTATATTTTCAATCATGTCACCATCCGTCCTAGTTTAATGTGCAGAGACAACTAAGCTTATTGTAGGTTGAGTGTAAACTGACTGTGACTCTGTAGTGCTTTGTTTGAGTGGTTATACAACAGCCTCTCGCTCAACAGTTCAAAACAAAGCAGAATCTACAGTTCTGCTCATGCATTTCTAGTTGATCTGCCACTAAATGTCTCAAGCAAAGCTATAAGTATCTTGGGAATGGGAAAGGGATGGATATACTGTAATGTGCTGCGGTGATGACGTAGACGCTCCTATAAGTTAGCATCACTTCCCTCTTCAGAAGGCCAATAGGATTTTGGATTATTGCTGAAAATAAGCTCTGTGACCAATACGAAATGTATGATTCTTACACTTTTTTTTTTTTGCTAAGATAATGTTTACACATGAGCAACTTTAAGGCTAAATGCATTGTAAAGATCGAAATTAAACATGGTCACACGACACCACTAAGCGTCTGAGATATGCTTATTTAATCTTTATTTAAAATCAGAAAGTTGGAAAGTTAGAGCTAAATGTGCAAGTGTCACATTTACTGCAGGTCAGTGGATTTTTGTGGGCAAAATCCAGTCATTTCAATGCAGTTGGGGATTTTTCGCATGCAGAATTTGAGACTTTGAAAATTCACAGCATTATGACTCACAAAGCGCTGACTGTTTGGCCTTTGAAGTGCTGTTTAAGCAAACTAGTGAGCAGGCAGACCTTATTTCAGGCATTTAACCACAAACCCATTAAAAGACCTATTGGGTATATGAGATAAAGTAGCTAGAAGTGCTAAAATGCTCCTAAGGGCCAGATTTTTCAAACAGGGCAAATCAGCGTAAGACCGCAATCCCATAAAGTCGCCGATGGGAGTGTGAAGTTCTGCTGATTTACTGACAGTATGCAAATTAAAGAACACAGACACAGATCATTTCTATAATGACCTGTGACACTTTTTTCAGGATTTTTTGATGAATAAAAAGTAAAGGAAAAAAAAGAGCAACATTTATTTAAAATAGAAATCTTTTGTAACAATAACTTTCAAAGGTTTGGGTCAGTATTTATCTTTTTCTTTTTAAAGAAATTATTATAATTTTTTTTTAGCAAGGATGTGTTAGATTGATACAAATTATAGTAAAGACTTGCGTTATTAGAAAAGATTTCTATTATCAGCAAATGCTGAAATTTTTTGTTAATCAAAGAATCCTGAAAAAAGTATCACTGGTTCCAAAATATATAACTGTTTTCAACATTGATAATAATCAGAAATGTTTCTCGA